CGGATACTCACACACACAGCGCACCTGGTCTACCACACCTCACCACACACACACACCACACCTGGTCTACCACACCTCACCACACACACACCACACCTGGTCTACCACACCCCTCTGCTACACACACACACACCACACCTGGTCTACCACACCTCACCGCTACTACACACACACACACTACACCTGGTCTACCACACCCCTCTGATACTGCACACACACACACTACACCTGGTCTACCACATCCCTCTGATACTACACACACACACTACACCTGGTCTACCACACCACCACACACACACACACACCACCTGGTCTACCACACCCCTCTGATACTGCACACACACACACTACACCTGGTCTACCACACCCCTCTGCTACTACACACACACCACACCTGGTCCACCACACACCTCACCGCTACACACACACACACACCACACCTGGTCTACCACACCCTCTGATACTGCACACACACACACACCACACCTGGTCTACCACATCCCTCTGACACACACACACACACTACACCTGGTCTACCACACCTCACCGCTACTACACACACACACACTACACCTGGTCTACCACACCCCTCTGATACTGCACACACACACACCACACCTGGTCTACCACACCCCTCTGCTACACACACACACACCACACCTGGTCTACCACACCTCACCGCTACTACACACACACACACCACACCTGGTCTACCACACCTCACCACACACACACACACACTACACCTGGTCTCACCACACCCTCTGATACTACACACACACACTACACCTGGTCTACCACACCCTCTGATACTACACACACACACACTACACCTGGTCTACTACACCTCTCTGCTACTACACACACACACACACTACACCTGGTCTACCACACCTCTGATACTACACACACACACACTACACCTGGTCTACCACACCTCACCGCTACTACACACACACACTACACCTGGTCTACCACACCTCTGATACTACACACACACACACTACACCTGGTCTACCACACCCTCTGATACTACACAGACACACACTACACCTGGTCTACCACACCCCTCTGATACTACACACACACACACTACACCTGGTCTACCACACCTCTTCTACTATACACACACTACACCTGATCTACCAACCTGGTACCCCTCAAGGTGGAGTACTTAGCCCCATTTTGTTCAATGTTCTTAGAATGCATTATTAAATTTAATACCAGACAACCCCAGCAATATCTCAATCAGCTATGCTGATGATATTCTTATACATACTAAAACTCATCGTAAAATGCAAACCACCCTGAACCATGTATACGCAGCCTGTGAGAACCTCGGTCTTATTATTCCACTGAGAAAACTAAGGTGTTCAACAAACAAGCTGGTAACCGCAAACGCGGCCCCGCCAAGTTCAAGATAGGTAACAACACTATTGACTATGTTTCTTCTTTTAAATATCTTGGTGTTTCGTCCCTTGTACCCTACCTGCCATACAACAGCTAACCCGCCAATGTACTGACAGACTGAGACCTCTTAGAAGTGTAGCGGGGTACAGCCCCATTATGGTGCTAATATTAGAATTGTTAAAACAATGTACCTAGGCTATATAAGATCTCTGATAGATTACCACGCACCAGCCCTGGTCATTCGTGACAGGAAAGGCGTTGACAAGCTCGAGAAAATGCAAAATAAAGCCTTCAGAATTATCCTAGGATGTCCCATGAACACTAAAGTACTTAATATGAGGAAAGAACTAGGTATACCCAGTGTTAAAGATAGAATAATTGAAGTCAACCTCATGATAGCCCTGAGGCTTCTGCGTGGTGATCCTGATAACATTGTTTCTTAAAATTGCTAGAATGTATGAACCATGGGACTGCTGAGTCTAAATGGATCAAAACTACAGCTACACATATGAAGATATTTGGACTAGACCACCTGTACAAAGTTGAGACACAACAGCGCTTCCTGCCACCCTGGCGGACAGTTCCCTTCGATATCACAATACCGACGTATCCGCCTAAAAATTAATTATACAAAGTATTTATCTCCAACACACTGCCAAAGTGAGAGCTCTTGAACACATACACACTCTACAGACAGATAATATCACACAGACCATCTACACTGATGGATCTCAAACGCCTGTGGGAGGGATGGAAGTGCTATTGTGACTCAACCTGACAGTAATATAATTGAGAAAGGAGTTAGAATTAACAACTGGGCATCCACTCTACAAACTGAATTAGTTGCCATACTCACAGCTATTAAATTCATTGAAACCACTGTCACTACAGTCTCATCATCACTGACTCTATCCTCACTACTTGCCCTTGACACCCTCAACTCAAGTTGTCACGCTCTTGTCTCTGAAGCCAGACACAAATATGCGTGCCTTGTTGACCGGGTGTCAAGGTCAAACTGTTGTGGATCCCTCTCACATAGGCCTCATAAAACATGACAGAGTTGATGCCCTCGCCAAACTCGCGTCTAACAAAGACACCGTTGAATACAATTTGGGTCTGTCAAAAGAACCCTTAAACTGTAATTAGAAAGAACCTATTGATGAATTTAACGCAAGTAGACAAGTGCAAACAGGCACTAGTCGATCCATAGTTTACCATGATGAGATGTATCAAGTGAAACATGTATATGGAGCAAGTAACAAGATCACTAGATTACAAGATGTTGTAACCGCTAGATTAAGGTTAGGATATAAGTACTTTTGGCAGTATGTTCCTCAAACAGATGTAAACAAGACTAAATAAAAGTGTGTGGCCAGATATATGGCCACACACCTGAACACTACGTCCTCGACTCTGTGAAGTTAGAACCCTTTAGGGACAGGTCCAAGCACACTGTGCGTGAAATGGCACAACACTTCATCTCTAATGGCAAGATAGCCGACATATTAAGAGTGTATCCACTTTTTGCACTTAGTAACTATATCAGCTATCATGTATAGAACCAAATAACAATGTGCTTGAATACTTCACGCAAACGTGAATAACAAAGTGTGCGGCCAGACATACTGCCTCCACACGCCTGTACTCACGCATTTGTGAAGGAGTTACCGTGTATAGAACTAAACAAATAATGTAATTGAAATACTGTGTAACATTCAGTGCCATAATATCCTGACAACGGGGTTAATTATTATGACTCTCCACACCTCTTCTACTACACACACACTACACCTGGTCTACCACACCTCTCTGATACTACATACACACTACACCTGGTCTACCACACCTCTCTGATACTACATACACACTACACCTGGTCTACCACACCTCTCTGATACTACATACACACTACACCTGGTCTACCACACCTCTCTGATACTACATACACACTACACCTGGTCTACTACACCTCTCTGATACTACACACACACACACTACACCTGGTCTACCACACCTCTCTGATACCACACACACACACACCACACCTGGTCTACCACACCCCTCTGATACACACACACTACACCTGGTCTACCACACCTCTGATACTACACACAACACTACACCTGGCTCACCACACCTCTCTGATACTACACACACACTACACCTGGTCTACCACACCTCTCTGCTACTACACACACACTACACCTGGTCTACCACACCTCTCGGATACTACACACACACTACACCTGGTCTACCACACCTCACCGCTACTACACACACACACTACACCTGGTCTACCACACCTCTCTGATACTACACACACACTACACCTGGTCTACCACACCTCTCTGATACTACACACACACTCACCTGGTCTACCACACCTCTCTGATACTACACACACACTACACCTGGTCTACCACACCTCACCGCTACTACACACACACTACACCTGGTCTACCACACCTCTCTGATACTACACACACACGCACTACACCTGGTCTACCACACCTCTCTGCTGCCTCCTCTTGGGTACAACACCTGACGACTGGGACAATTACTCCAGGTATACCCGCTACCACAGGTGTTCCATCTACACCAAGGCTGCTAACATATTGGTAATTATTTTAGGCTTTATTCTAATCTACCTTAACCTAACCTTACCTCATCCAAACTAACGTAACGTAACGTAATCTAACGTAACGTAACCTAACGTAACGTAACCTAACCTAGCGTAACGTAACTTAGCGTAACGTAATCTAACCTAACCTCTTACAAGTTACTTTCGTGTCTTTAAAGTTGGTTAGATGGAAGAAGCTTCACATCTAACGAACTGCTCGATATAAAGGATTTTCCTCACCATATAGTCCGCTAAATAGAGGTTTAACTATACTTACTGTCTTTCATGACGACCTTGTCACCCTGGCGAGTAGATCATCAACCATATTCGTAAGAAGAACAGATACCAGACGCTAGTGATGCAGGAGAGCAGGTTAGCAGCTGACCACACCCAGGACCTACCACACCCTCCATCAGGATGGCCATACAGGCGGTCGTTAACCTGAGTGTGGTGGCCACAAGTCTTTAATTTATGGCCACATTAACACTATAAGACAAGATACAGTGAACACATGGGTGAGGTCCTTAGTTAAGCCGCTGCCCCGACTCCCAACACTACACTACACGGGAGCAGCTCACCATCTGACAGAACAGTACAGCACAGTAGTAGGTAGTGACGGCCTTGGTCACCATGACGCCCTGAGTGACTACTGTACTGCACCCACTAACACTCACCACACACACCAGACTTAAAGGCTCTGGAAAAACTCTCTCTCTCTCTCTCTCTCTCTCTGAATATTCTTCTTTTTTTTGTTTTTTCCTTTTATCTCACTTCTACATTAATTTTCTCCCTCCTCGTCGTCCTCCTCCTCCTCTGGCACCATCTCCTTCACCTCTACCTCTCCCTCCTCCTTCACCTCTCCCTCCTCCTGTTTTTCTGCCCTGACATCAATTCTTCAGACATTTCTCGCCCGACGTCCTCTCTTTGACCGCCTCGACCACCACCCAGATTAAATCACTAAATATAGAACATGCGAAACAAGGTCAAGGTCACGACTCTTGTCCGTCCGTAAGCTTAAACTATCGTCGTCAAAGGGTTAAACCATAGTCAAAGTGTTAGAACTACCATCGTCGCCAGAGTTAAATCATCGTCAGAGGGTTAAATCATCGTCAAATGGTTAAATCATCGTCGCCAAAGGGTTAAACCATCATCATCAGAGGGTTAATTCATAGTCAAAGGGTTAAACCACAATCAGAAGGTTAAATCATCGTCAAAGGGTTAAGCCATAATCAAAGTGTTAAATCCTCATCAAAGGGTTAAACCATCATCAAAGGGATAAACCATAATCAAAGGGTTAAACCATCATGAAAGGGTTAAACAATAATCAAAGGGTTAAATCATCATCAAAGGGTTAAACCATCACCAAAGGGGTAAACCATCATCGTCAAAGGGTGTAGACATAATGGGTCTGTCAGTATGAGAAAAAAACTTATCGAGAAAGAGTCAAGACCTGGAGGCCGTGAGCTAGATTACAGGGGTTAGGATTTAATTAGGTCAATCGATAGACTAGAACAGGTATGGAAACATCCCAGGTATAATGAATACCAGGAATTATGGGTACGGTTTAATGGATGGAGAGAGAGAGAGAGAGAGAGAGAGAGTAAATATGACTACTAACATATAACAGGATTTAATCTACCGTAATTAAGGTTAAAGTCAGGTTGTTAAGAGTTAGTTTACCTTGTTAATTAACTCCAGTTAACCACGAGACGGACGGACGGACGGACGACGGGTACACACACACACACACACGAAAACTATTTTGATAGTAGAAGCCGTCGAAGGTTTGTGAATCTTTTGACGTCCGTTTCCATATTGATGTATTTATTTATTAATTTCATCTTCTGCGTGTGTGTGTGTGTGTGTGTGTGTGTGTGTGTGTGTGTGTACGAATATCAAACCAAGTAAACAATGTGTATTTGCTCGAAACAAGGCTAATAAAGTACTTGGGTTCATAGAAAGGAGTTACAAGACTAGCGAGGTCATCCTAAAACTATATCTTGCGCATGTGAGACCTCACTTGGATTACGCAGTTCAGTTCCGGTCACAGTACTATAGAATGGATGTAGAATCCCTAGAAAGAATTCAGAGGAGAATGACAAGACTAATCCCAGGCATTAGGAACCTTGAGTACAGAGACAGGTTAAAGCTTCTTAGTCTGCACTCCCTCGAGAGACGTAGAGTGAGGGGCGATATGATTGAGGTGTATAAATGGAAGTCAGGGCTAAACAAAGGTGATATAACAAAGGTACTCAAACTATCCAACCAGGAGGGAACTCGTAGCAATTGTTTTAAATTAGGCAAATTTAAATTTAGGCGAGAGATAGGTAAACATTGGTTTGGAAAAAGAGTAGTGGAACAAGTTACCAAACATCACCATTAACTCGAATACGCCAAACATAGGTTGGATGGATATAAGATTGGGGTTGGGTGTAAACGGGACTGCCCAGTATGGGCAAATAGGCCCGCTGCAGTTTCTCCTTCTGTTCTATGTGTGTGTGTGTGTGTGTGCGTGTGTGTGTGTGTGTGTGCGTGCCCTGGTGCTCCTGCCTTTAATATTAGGTGACTCAGGTGGGCAGTGACAGACACCTGCACACCGCCAGGTTGTGTCGCGCCTCACAGTAATTTTTAAGAACGGTGAGCGAAAACCTGCTAGGAGTTGTTCTGTTGGTCGAGAGCGCAGAGGTGAGGTGAAATGAGGTGAGGTGGAGAGGTGAGAGGAGGAGGTGAGGTGAGGGAGAGGAGTGAGCTGAGTGGGAGAGGGAGGTGAAGGAGGTTGAGGAGGGAGGTGAGGTGGAGGTTAGAGGGAGGGAGGGGAGGAGGTGAGGTAAGAGGAGGGAGAGGAGGTGGAGGTAGGGAGAGGGAGGTGAGGGGAGGAGGTGAGAGGAGGGGGAGGAGAGGTGGAGGAGTGGAGGGGAGGGAGGTGAGAGGAGGGAGGTAGGGAGGGGAGGGAGGAGGGAGGGAGGGGTGAGAGGAGGGAGGTGGAGAGGGAGGGAGGTGAGGGAGGGGAGTGAGGGGAGAGGGGTGAGGTGGAGAGGGGTAGGGAGGTGAGAGGAGGGAGGAGAGGTGAAGAGAGATGAGAGGAGGGAGGGAGAGGAGGGAGGTGAGGGAGGGGAGGTGGGAGGAGGGAGGTGAGGGGAGGGGGAGGTGAGAGGAGGGGAGGTGAGGTGAGGTTAGAGGAGGGAGGTGAGGTGAGGTAGGAGGAGGGTGGTGAGGGGAGGAGGTGGGAGGAGGGAGGAGAGGTGAAGAGAGGTGAGAGGAGGGAGGGAGAGGAGGAGGAGGAGGGGAGAGGAGGGAGGGGGGAGGAGGAGGAGGTAGAGGAGGAGGTGAGGGGGAGGTGAGGGAGGGAGGGAGAGGAGGAGGGGGTGAGGGGGGGAGGTGAGAGGGGAGGGAGGGGAGGAGAGGAGGGAGGTGGAGAGGAGGGAGGTGGGAGGGAGGGAGGTGGGAGAGGAGGGAGGTGGGAGGAGGGAGGTGAGAGGAGGGAGGGAGGTGGGAGAGGGGAAGAAGGGAGGAGGGGAGGAGGGGTGAGAGGGAGGAGGGAGGTGGAGAGGAGGGGAGGGAGGAGGAGGTGAGAAGGAGGGGAGGGGAGGGGGAGAGGAGGGAGGGGAGGTGGGGAGAGGAGGAGTTGGAGGTGAGAGGGGTGGAGGTGGAGGTTAGAGGAGGGAGGTGGAGGTGGGAGGTAGAGGAGGGAGGGTGAGGGAGGTAAGAGGAAGGGAGAGAGGGGAGGTGAGGTAAGAGGAGGGAAGTGAGGTGAGGAGGTTAGGGGAGGAGGAGGTGGGAGGTGAGTAGGGAGGAGGGAGGTGAGGTGGGGAGGGGAAAGGTGGGGTGAGGGAGGAGGAGAGGTAGAGAGGTGAGAGGGAGGGGAGGGTGAGAGGAGGGAGGTGAGAGGAGGGGAGGGAGAGGAGGGAGGTGGGAGGGGAGGAGGGAGGGGAGGGGAGGGGGAGGGAGGGGAGGGGGGAGGAGGGAGGTGAGAGGAGGAGGTGAGGGGAGGGAGGTGAGGGGAGGGGAGGGGGAGAGGAGGGAGGTGGGAGAGGGAGAGGTGAGGGAGGGAGGGGGAGAGGGAGGGAGAGGAGGGAGGTGAGGGGGAGGGAGGTGAGAGGGAGGGAGGTGGAGAGGAGAGGGGGAGGGGAGGGGAGGTGGGAGGAGGAGGGGAGGTGGGAGGGGAGGAGGTGAGGGGAGGGAGGTGGAGGGGAGGGAGGGGGAGAGGAGGAGGTGAAGGGAGGGAGGTGAGGGAGGAGGTGGGGAGGGGAGGGAGGTGAGGGGAGGGAGGGGTGGGAGAGGAGGGAGGTGAGGGGAGGGAGGTGAGGGGGGAGGGAGGTGGGGAGGGGAGGGAGGTGAGGGAGGGAGGTGAGAGGAGGGAGGTGAGGGGAGGGAGGTGAGAGGAGGGGAGGTGAGGGGAAGGAGGTGAGGGGAGGGAGGTGAGGGGAGGGAGGTGAGGGGTAGAGAAAGAGATAAAAGAGAAAATAATGAGACTTGGAATCATTGAATGACGCTCCCAGCTCACGCTACTGCCCCTGGCCGAGGCACACCGCCCCTGCCTGGGAGGCACACCTGCCCCCTGCCAGGTACCGCCCCTGCCGAGACCGCCCCGCCAGCACCCCCTGCCCAACACCGCCCCGGCCGAGGCACCGCCCCTGCCCGAGGTACACCGCCCCTGCCCAGGACACCCCCCTGCCCGAGGTACACACCCCCCCCTGCCCGAGGTACACCGCCCCTGCCCGAGGTACACCGCCCCTGCCCGAGGTACACCGCCCCCTGCCCGAGCGGCCACCGCCCTGCCCGGGGGTACACCGCCTGCCTGAGTACACCGCCCCCTGCCCGAGGCACCCCCCTGCCCGAGGTACCCGCCCCTGGCCGAGGTACACCGCCCCCTGCCCGAGGTACACCGCCCCTGCCCGAGGACACCGCCCTGCCCGAGGTACACACCGCCCTGCCCGAGGTACACCGCCCCCCTGCCCGAGGTACACCGCCCCCTGCCCGAGGTACACCGCCCCCGCCCGAGGTACACCGTCCCCTCCCCGAGGTACACCGCCCTGCCCGGAGGTACACCGCCCCCGCCCGAGTGACACCGCCCCCGCCCGAGGTACACCGCCCCCGCCCGAGGCAACGCCCCTGCCCGAGGTACACACCGCCCCCTGCCCGAGGTACACCGCCCCCGCCCGAGGTACACCGCCCTGCCCGAGGTGCACACCGCCCCTGCCCGAGGTACACCGCCCCTGGCCGAGGTACACCGCCCCTGCCCGAGGTACACCGCCCCCGCGCCCGAGGTACACCGCCCCTGCCCGAGGTACACCGCCCCCTGCCCGAGGTACACCGCCCCCTGCCGAGGTATACCACCGCCCCTGCCCGAGGTACACCGCCCCTGCCCGAGGTACACCGCCCCTGCCCGAGGTACACCGCCCCTGCCCGAGGTACACCGTCCCCTGCCCGAGGTACACCGCCCCTGCCCGAGGAACACCGCCCCCTGCCCGAGGTACACCGCCCCTGCCCGAGGTACACCGCCCCTGCCTGAGGTACACCGCCCCTGCCCGAGGTACACCGCCCCCTGCCCGAGGTACACCGCCCCCTGCCCGAGGCACACCGCCCCCGCCGAGGTACACCGCCCCGCCTGAGGTACACCGCCCCGCCCGAGGTACACCGCCCCCTGCGAGGTACACCGCCCCTGCCCGAGGTACACCGCCCCTGCCCAGGGTACACCGCCCCTGCCGAGGTACACCGCCCCTGGCCGAGGATCACCGCCCCCGCCCGAGGTACACCGCCCTGCCCGAGGTACACCGCCCCCTGCCCGAGGTACACCGCCCCGCCCGAGGTACACCGCCCCCCTGCCCGAGGTACACCGCCCCCTGCCCGAGGTACACCGACCCCTGGTCTGAAGCACACCACCCCCTGCCCGAGGTTCCCGCCCCCGGCCGAGGCACCGCCCCGGCCGAGGTACACCGCCCCGGCCGAGGCACACCGCCCCTGCCCGGGGTACACCGCCCCTGGCCAGGGTACACCGCCCCCCGCCCGAGGTACACCGCCCCCTGCCCGAGGTACACCGCCCTGCCGCCGAGGCACCGCCCCCCTGCCCGAGGTACACCGCCCCTGCCCGAGGTACACCGCCCCTGCCCGAGGTACACCGTCCCCGCCCGAGGTACACCGCCCCTGCCCGAGGAACACCGCCCCTGCCCGAGGTACACCGCCCCCTGCCCGAGGATACACCGCCCCCTGCCCGAGGTACACCGCCCTGCCCGAGGTACACCGCCCCTGCCCGAGGTACACCGCCCTGCCCGAGGTACACCGCCCCTGCCCGAGGCACGCCCCTGCCCGAGGTACACACCGCTCCTGCCCGAGGTACACCGCCCCCTGCCCGAGGTAACACGACCCTGTCTGAAGCACACCACCCCTGCCGAGGTACGCCGCCCCTGCCCGAGGTTCCCCCCCCTGGCCGAGGCGCGCCCCCCTGGCCGAGGTACACCGCCCCCTGGCCGAGGTACACCGCCCCTGCCCGGGGATACACCGCACCCTGGCCGAGGTACACCGCCCCTGCCGAGGCACCGCCCCCTGCCCGGGGGTCACCGCCCCTGCCGAGGTACACCGCACCTGCCCGAGGTACACCGCCCCTGGCCGAGGTACACCGCCCCTGGCTGAGGTACACCGCCCCCGGCCGAGGTACACCGCCCCGGCCGAGGCACACCGCCCCTGCCCGAGGTTCCCGCCCCCTGGCCGAGGCTGCCGCCCCGGCCGAGGTACACCGCCCCCGGCCGAGGTACACCGCCCCCTGCCCGGGTACACCGCACCCCTGGCCGAGGTGCACCGCCCCCGCCGAGGCACACCGCCCCTGCCCGGGGTACACCGCCCCCGGCCGAGGTGCACCGCCCGCCCGAGGTACACCGCCCCGCCGAGGTACACCGACCCTGGCAGGTACCGCCCCGCTGAGGTACACAGCACCCTGGTCGAGGTGACACCGCCCCGGCCGAGGTACACCGCCCCCTGCCCGGGGTACACCGCCTGGCCGAGATACACCGCCATTCCCCGAGGTACACCGCCCCTGCCGAGGTACACCGCCCCCTGGCCGAGGCGTACACCGCCCCGGCCGAGGCACCGCCCCTGCCGAGGTACAGCACCCCTGGTCGAGGTACACCACCCCTGCCGAGGTACACCCCCCCTGGCCGAGGTACACCGCCCCCTGGCCGAGGCACACAGCACCCTGGTCGAGGTACACCGCCCCCGGCCGAGGTACACCTGCCCCTACCCGAGGTACACCGCCCCCTGCCCAAGGTACACCGCCCCTGGCCGAGGTACATCACCCCTGCCTGAGGTACACCCCCTGGCCGAGATACACCACCGCCGAGGTTCACCGCCCATGCCCGAGGTACACCGCCCATTGCCCGAGGTACACCGCCCCCGCCGAGGCACGCCGCCCCCTCCCCAAGGTACGCCGCCCCCAGCGAGATACACCGCCCCCGGCCGAGGTACACCACCCTGCCTGAGGTACACCGCCCTCTAACCGAGGTACACCGCCCCCTGGCGGAGGTACACCTCCCCTGGCCGAGGCACACCACCCCCTGCCTGAGGTACACCGCCCCAGGCCGAAATACACCGCCCCTGGCTAGGCACACCACCCCCTGCCTGAGGTACACCTCCCCTGGCTGAGTACACCATTCCCTACCTGAGGACACCTCCCCTGGCCGAGGTACACCACCACCTTACCCGAGGTACACCGCGGCAGGTGATAGACGTGTGTACAGAGTTTTGACTGTGTCTGAACACGTCATAACGAATATAAAGCATCAGAGTTATTACCTGGGAGAGACAAACACAGGTGAGCAACATCCTGAGGTGAGTCCCCCGCCAGACAGGTAAACATCACAGAGCTCTCAGGTGATTTACACACACGCACTGCAGTGGCTCGGGGAGGGGGAGAGGTGTGGTAGGGGGAGGGTATGGTGGGAAAGGAGAGGGAGGGGGAAGGGAGGGTGGGGACAGGTGATGGTGGAGTGAAGGTGAACGTAAGAGATGGAGGATGGGAGGATGTCGTATTTTTTTTTTGTGTGTGTGTGTGTGTGTGTGTGTGTGTGTGTGTGTTTGTTTACGATCAACACGCTTCACTCTCCTCTCAGTAACTCTCACTCTCTGTAGGTGAAGTGACGACTGTGTGTGTGTGTGTGTGTGTGTGTGTGTGTGTGTGTGTGTGTGTGTGTGTGTGTGTGTGTGTGTGTGTGTATGTAATATATATATATAATAATTAACGGTTTATTGAAGAGCAGCGTAGAAGGCTGAAAATATACAGTTACATATTTGGGGAATGGGTTACGAATTACAAATAATATACAAGTAACATAAATTGATACAAATAGATATATAATAACTAGATGGGGGAAGAAACAAACTACAGTTCATTTCAACATAGTGACAGTGCAGTGTGTGTGTGTGTGTGTGTGTGTGTGTGTGTGTGTGTGTGTGTGTGTGTGTGTGTGTGTGTGTGTGTGTGTGTGTGTGGAGGAACAACCATTTCAATTTCAATAGTTTATTCCTTGATAGAGGAAGCGGGATCCTAGTGCTGTCACTAGGTACCCCTGTACAATAACACCAGAAGCATCTGGCAAGTGTAACAAGTATATACAGTATAAATATTATAAAGGGGCTTACTAAAGCCTAAGGAAGGAAGGATATTCCTTTAACACATTATCAATATTATTTACAACATATCTGACCAGTATGGGGAGGATCATCGTGTCTCCGTCAAGGGGTCGGGGAGTGGTGGTCCAGCAGGCGTCACGGAAGCGTTGTGTGTGGGGACATCTTAGGAGTTAGTAGACAAGGGCGCGGCTGTCGGGTCTTCTGCATAATGCACAAGAGCGTTGCTCAGGGGATGCGGGGATACCAATCTCCCAAGCAAAGTCATACCCAATGATGATACGGGCAGCAATCACGACCTTTTCCGCGACCCTTTCCCATAGACGTACGAGAGGTCAGGAAGTTTACGGAGGACATAGTACCAGGTGGGCGGGGAGTCCAGGGGGATGGCTGCTTCTCAAGCTTCTCTCTGTTTGCGGCGAATTTGGGTCCTAAGCTGTAAAAGTGTTCGAGGAACAACATAGTCAGGTGTGGCCTTGTTACAGCCAGTCTTGGCAAGGCCATCTGCTGCCTCATTCCCCAAGATACCGACATGACTAGGTATCCATAGGAATGTCACAGGACAGCCTGCATCCTGAAGAGTGGATGTTAACCCTCGTATTCGGAGGATGAGGTTATTTTCCCCTGATCCAAATGCGATCCCGCCGAGAGCAGACATGGAATCGGAGCAGACAAGCAAGGGGCAGAAACCATCTGCTTCTTCCTCAGCGAGAAGGGCAGCAAGGAGGACTATTAGTTCAGCCCGAGTGGAGGATGCCCCGTCAGAAACTCTGAGAGAAAGTTTGATAGGCTCAGGGGCATCAGGACGGGAGATGTAGACACCAGCCCCGGCCCGACCTGTAGCGGGGTCAACAGAGCCATCAGTGTAGAGGACGACCCTACCTGGGGACCAGTGGGCGATCCTGGAAAGGTGGTATTTGCAGAGAATAACAGGGTTCACGTGGGATTTCGGGAGCGGTCCACCGAGGGCAATCACTTCAGGTTGAAAATCCAGCAAGGGAGAAGGAGACGAACAAACAGCAGGGGTGACAACAATATCAGGCAGGGGGTCGTGTTCCTGAAGGGCTCGGACAGCAGGAGTCAAGTTGGCTTGGACATAGTTGCCCCGAGGATCCCGTAGAATGGAAACAGTAGTTTTTAGGTAAAACTCCTGGACACGATCCTGTAAGGGGGGAAGACCAAGTTCGGTATATAGAGAAGTAGAGCGTGTCCACTGAGGAGCCTCAAGGATGATACGAGCAGCTTTCCTCTGGATAACTTCGACACGGTTGACAGCAGTCCGACTAATGTTGACTAATGTTGACGAGGGCAGGGGCGGCGTAGTCGACACAGGAGCGGACAAATGACTTGTACATGGTGAGAAGTACAGGGATGGTGGCACCAAGGGAACCCCTGCACATGGTAGAGAGGGGTACGAGACGCCGAAAGCATATGTCTCGAAGATAGCGGACTTGAGGGATCTGACAACGTGTGCGAGTTACATACACACCAGGTATTTTGTCTCATTAACCCAGTCCAAGGGTGTTCCTGATAAGAGAAGGGGTGGAGGTACAACACGACCGTGCCACATGGCTTTTGTTTTCGCAGTTGAAAGAAGGAACCAAGTGAATCACTCTCTCTGGAGACCAGTTCAAGGGCTTCCTGCATGCTGAGGTAGTCAGGGGCTTGGAGGAGGACATCGTCGGCATATCCTGAGTGGACAACTTCTGTCGGTCACGGGAGAGATGCAATGGAGTGCATGAGAGTGTTAATCAAGGTGGGACTCAGGACTCCACCTTGAGGGGTGCCGAGGTTCATTTCTTGAACAGGAAATATAGAGCCTTCAACGCAAACCCGGGCCTGACGTCCAGTGAGGTAAGAGGCGATCCATCGAAGAAGTCTCCTTTTAACCCCTAACCGCGCAAGTTCAGCTAAAATGAGGGCAGGCTGAGCCGTATCAAAGGCTTCCTTGATATCAAGGAAGACGGAGACGCAGGGCAGTCTGATTTCAATAGAAAGAATCAATGGAGTGTGCTGTGCTGCGATGTTGTATGAAACATTGAGGGAGTTGTGGAAGCCGCCTGTGGTGTGAAGAAGGCGACGATGGAGTAACCTCTCCATCATCTTGCAAACACAGGAGGTAAGACTAATGGGTCGACATTTCCCAGGATCTCCCGGCTTAGGGATGGGTATAATAGTGGCATTTTTCCAGTTAGACGGGAAAACCCCATGTTCATAAGACATATTGCAGAGAGCGAGCAAGGGGCCGTTAGGAATATTAGTACAGGTTATCTGAATCATCCCCAGGAGAGGTGTCTTTTCTAGAGCGACGAGCACTGTCAAGCTCGAACTGTGTGATGGGATGATCAGTGGGGGCAGGGGAGGTAAGAGCAGCACGAACAACAGGCTGAGACGCATCGATGCGGGCCTGCACTGCCTCCTGCATCGGATCTGGAAGTGCCTCAGGGGAGGAGGCTCGTGCCCAGTCCTCCATTAAAGAGCAGGCAAGGGAGGCGAGGTCAGGGTGGGGAGGAGGCCTCCGTCGAGTACCCCGTATAGCATTAATCCGATTCCATTCATAAGAGGGTGACGACTGGAACGATAGAGACCCCGTGAAGGATAGCCAGTCCGCCTCACGAATCCGACGACGCTCCCGAGTTACAAAGGAGCACCAGTTTTTGAAGTCTTCTAAGACCTCTGGAGAGTGAGACCTCCGTATGGGAGAGTGGAGATCACGGGTTACCTGCCGGAGATGTCTCATGGCAGGGATACGATACCAGTAGTTGGTGGCACTTATGGGGTGACGGGGAGGGCGTGGAGGGGCAGCGTGATTGACAGTCATACAAGGCATCAACAAAAGCAACAAACCAATAACGCTCCTATGAGCGTTAACACAATATAAATTCATGGTTTTTTTTATTCCCTTAGTGACTCAGTGTATTGCAATAAAGAACTACCTTACCATTCTTTTTCCAACAGTTTCTCTAAGTACTTTGGTGTGGTAGTAATAATTCACTTTGCAATTGACAGTTTTGGCATATGAGATTTTTAAGGTTTTTGTTTTCATTATACTATAGATGGCAAGTATCAAGGGTTTCCATATGTTTAATGGCAATGTTGATATACAGTACTGCACACAGCCATTCTATATTTTGTCTACAAGTATGGTAGAATCAAGTGTGAATACAATGGTTTTGTGTATCCAAGATTTCAAACAAATTGAAGAATGCCATTACCCCAGAAACTCGTCGTATCAAGGAAATGGTTCACCAAGTACCCTGGGAGATCCCTATCAAACATCTTCGCCCTGTTCTCCCACAACTACTCGACATGGAGCGCCGCATCAACCCGGTCTCCAAACGCCCTTCCAACGAACTCATCGGCTGATGGGTGGGCCCCCTCCCCCCGAAGGTGAATGTAGGACCTAATCACACTGTCCTCTCGACCGATTTATCAAAACCCCGAAAATCTGTGGTCGTCGCCAATCGTCGGAACACCGCACCTGGGAGTGCACGAGGATGGTCGACTGCAGTTTCTGTGTAGGTCTTCACGACACAGTGGAATACAAATCGAAAATTCAAAACAAAATCCCAGTTGCTCCACGGTGTATCAACTGCCATGGCAGTTACCACGCCTGGAATGAACAAAAGAACATAAGAAAATATGGAGTCTGCAATAGGCCGGTTGGTCTCCGGTGTGAGATGAAGAGTCGGTGGGGATAGACAGGGCTACGGAGGAGGTACCAAATTCTGTTGAGGATATTGGAAAGGGAGGAGTGGGAGAGCGAGGGATGCATCCTCCATCTCAGGAGAAGGAAGGCGGCGGGTCACCAGGGCTTGCAAAGTGCGCCCCTGTTGCGTCAAGGTGTCCAGAATGAGTTGTTGTTGCCTCTGCAATGTCGCAATTGTCTCCATAAACGAGTTGAGTTGGGCAGAGAGAAGGTTGATTTGCTTGGAGTGGCGATCTAGACAGAGAGTGATTGTTTCCATAGAACCAACTTGGTGTACCTCTGCAGGAGCTGGAGGTGGCGGCGAGGATTGGCGACGACCCGACTTGGCAGGTGGTGGTGGTGGCGACGGAGAGGGGCGGTGAGGGTTCAGGTGAGCAAGAGGTGATGGTACTGGTGCTGGTGATAGACAGCTGGGGTCCGGGTGGGCAGGAGGTGGTGGTGACAGGGAGGAAAGGTGAGGACTGAGGTGAGCTAGAGGTGATGGTGCTGGTGAAAGACTGCTGGGGCCCCGGTAGGCAGGAGGTGGTGGTGACTGTGTGTCAGGGCCGGCAACGACCTTGTTCCAAGAACGGTAGGGAGAGGGGTTAAGTCTCGTTAATGGGTTAATGGCTTGCATAATGGTCAAGTTTGAGTAGGTAAGGGTAGGTGAGGTTGAGATAAGTTTGAGAGATGGAAGGAGAGGTTAGGTTAAATTGTCTTACTAATGCAGGAACTTATTTTTTTCAGCATGAAGTCCAAGAAGCTTTGGACGCCTCGGAGGTAGCGAGAGTAGGCAGAAACCATAGAGGTGGACGTACTAGACGCATACTTAGGCAACAACTCGATCCTGTCGAGGTTTTCACCGACGACGAGTTTTTGGAGAGGCATCGGCTCTCCAAACAGTGTGTTGCAGCCTTGTTAGAAGAAATAGGACATCTTCTAGCTTGCAGAGACAGGAGAGGTAAGTGAACATGACAATGGTTCAGACAAAACATGTAGTTATATTGAATTTTGGGTAACAGAATAATTGAAGTTTTTGCTGAAAATTATGTGAATTGGATCCCAATTGTCTTCATTTCTGTCCCACCCCACATTGGAAAAATCAGCGATGCCAATCCGTGTTAAAGAGACTGGTATATATTCATTTACCGTATATAAGCAAAACCGTGTAAGATGAATCAGTGTATAACGAGGAATTATTGTACTTAATTTTCAATCATAATTTATCCAAAAATAATTTGTAAAAATGTATTTCTAGGTCTCCGAATATCACCAAGACAGAAGATATTGGCTGCACTTCGTTACCTGGCAACAGGTGATTTGCAGGCGACTGTTGGAGACATGACTTTGAACACCTTCAAAGAGATCTAGATACCTTACATGAGTGGTCAGTAGACTGGCAAATGAATTTTAATACTGATAAATGCAAGGTACTACAGATAGGGAAGACGAATACAAACTTTAAGTATAAACTAGGTAACACGGAAATAGAAAACTCAGATTGTGAAAAAGATCTAGGTGTATGTGTTGGCAACGACTTGAAACCTAGAAAACAATGTACAGTATTAGCGTTCGCAACAAGGCAAACAGGATTCTTGGGTTCATATCTAGGAGTGTGAGTAACAGAACTGCTGACGTTATCTTGAAACTTTACCTAGCATTAGTGAGGCCACACATGGATTATGCGGTTCAATTCTGGTGTCCTTATTATAGAATGGACATAGATTCTTTGGAGAGAGTACAAAGAAGAATGACAAAAATTATCCATAATATTAGAAACCTTCCATATGAAGAAAGACTGAAAAGCTTAGGCTTGCATTCATTAGAGAGGCGTAGAGTTAGGGGAGATATGATAGAGGTGTTCAAGTGGGTAAGTGGGATTAACAAGGGTAAAATGGAAGATGTTCTGAAGCTCAGTAATAACGAAATAACTAGAACAAGTGGCTTTAAATTAGATAAATTCCGATTCAGAAAGGATATAGGCAAGCACTGGTTTGGTAATAGAGTTGTGGATATGTGGAATAGGCTACCGAGTGCTATAGTAGGATCGGGGACGCTAGGGAGATTCAAGACGAAGTTGGATAGGCACATGGAAGTGCTGGGATGGGTGTGAAAGGGATCTGCCCTGTATGGGCCAGTCGGCCTCCTGCAGTATCCCACTTTCTTATGTTCTTATGTTCTTATGGCGGATATGTCACAGGCATGTGCTTGTCAGTCCATCAAGAGAGTTACCCGCGCCATCGCCACCATTGTACCATGATACATCCGGTTCCCTACCCAAGCAGAGGGGAATACTACCATATTCATCTGGGTCACAACTTTATTTTTACCGCGAGTAGAATTTATGGTTAACGTACTTGCTACATTTAGTTTTTTAAGTGAATTAAGAGTTCGGTACTGTCCTTTCAACTATTTAATTCGTTAACCATAGATTCTAACCCGTGATATATATATATATATATATATATATATATATATATATATATATATATATATATATATATATATATATATATATATATATATATATATATATATTGGTAACCACAAGGAAAAATAACAACACGAACTTCCCAAGAGCTTTCATGTAATTCACATCTTCAGGGGTGAGTGCAGACTAAAAAGTTATACTTGACAAGGCAAATATATACAATAGAGGAGAGCGAGATCAAGTCCCTAGGGGACAGCAGGTGTCCACAATGTTCCAGTCATAAGGCAGTGACCCTTACTAATCCTCTTAATAAAAAAAAAATTGACCATGCCATCTCTAAGCACAGCAGCTGTCCGTAGTAAGGTCATAGGGTAAGATGACCCAACTTTCTCACTTGGTTACAAATCAACTTTATCACAAAATTATCCAGTTTGTACATACCATCATTAAAATTCATGTTGACAAATTCGGTATGTTTAATGAGACTGGATTCTATAATGTTCCTACTGACAATTGAATTACAAGGTAATATTGAGGAGGCAATGCTTATTATCTCTGTTACGAGTTGGGGATTTAGAATATGGTTAAAAGTCTACCCAGATCCCAACAGGTAACAACAATAATAAAAAAAAAAGACAATCGGACTATAAAAGGGTAGACAAAGGATGCGAGTTTTCGTTGTGTATAATAAAGTACCATAAATCCCAAAACAAAATATTCAGCTTATAAATTACCCTTAACCAAACTTAACCTAAACATTAACAGTATATACATATTAATACAATTTTGAAGCAAGTGGACGTGGGGGAGGCAATACAAGATACAAATACTTAAGTGAGGAGCTGAGATGGCTGACGAGTAAGGCTGAGTATTGTAGAAGACGGTAGGTAGTCACTGCACCGTAGGTTTAGAGGATAGATGATCCTGTGGTCACTTCCCAGAGCCAAGTGCTCTCTCCTCGAATTGGAGCTCACAAAGAAGACTTGGAGGAAGTGACGCAACAACCAGGATATGGAGAAGGGAAACCCCGGAGTGGTAACTAAGACGAGTCATACTCGTGTCTCGTCCCTAGATGGCGTTGCTCGTGGTGCTGGGTAGGTAGATCAAGACAATAGATGGCGTGGTTCGTAGTGCTGGGTGGAGGGGTTCGTAACACACCCCCCCTCCAAAGACCTCCGTAGCGCGGGCGCGAAGGAGGTGATCACCTGGTGCGTCTGGAGAGTAGCTGCTGCATTTCCACTGGAGCTCGGGATAAGGAGTCTGCAATCAGGTTGTCCACCCCCTTTATGTGCCGGACTTGTAGATTATAGGGCTGGGTGAGGAGAGCCCAGCGGAGGATTCGCTGGTTGGAGGTCTTGTTGGTTTGGATGAACGTGAGTGGGTTATGGTCGGTGAAGACTAGGGTTGTTTGTGGGCAAGACTGGAGGTAACATTCAAACTTCTTTATTGCCAACACCAGAGCCAGGGCCTCCTTCTCTATGGTCGAGTAGTTGGTCTTATGTTTTTTCAACTTGGCGGAGTAGTATGCCACAGGGTGAAGGACATCAGTGGTTGGGTCGGGTTGTAGGAGCACAGCCCCAACTCCGACACCACTAGCGTCGATTTGCAGATGGAAGGGCAAGGTGTAGTCAGGGGGGTGGACTATAGGCTTGGAGGCAAGGAAGGCTTTGAGGCGGTGGAAAGACTGGTCGCACCTCTGGTTCCAGATGTAAGGGACCGCAGAACTGGTAAGGTCTATGAGGGGTCCGGCCACGCTGGAGAAGTAGTAGCCGCACATCCCCAGGAAGCGCATGAGTTCTTTCCTCGTCCTTGGAGTGGGGAAGGATAAGATGGCTCTAACGTTTGCGTCCTTGGGTCTCACCATACCATGCCCAACGATATGTCCCAGGTAAGTCACTGATGCCCGGCCAAAAGCAGATTTAGCCAGGTTTATGGTGAATCCAGTCTCTTGCAGTCGTGCAAACAGTATCTCCAAACGCACCAGATGTTCGTCCCAGCTGTCCGACACCACCACCAGGTCATCCAGGTAGGCGAACGTCCCACCTAGGTCCTGAATAAGGTAGTTGATGGCCCTCTGGAATGTGGCCGGAGCATTAGAAAAGCCAAACGCCATAACCAAATATTGAAAAAGACCAAATGGAGTTATAAATGCCGAGATTATTTTTGCCCTATCCGTGAGTCCCACTTGATAGTATCCTTTCAATAAGTCCACCGTACTGATAAATTTGGCACAGCCTATGCTGTCTATTATATCTTCAATCAAAGGTAAAGGGTAGGAGTCTGAGACAGTGACCTGGTTCACTTTACGATAATCGGTACAGAAACGAAAAGTGCCATCGGGTTTTGGAATGAGAAGGCAAGGTGAAGCCCAGGGGGAGGTACTAGGCTCAGCTAAGTTATGTTTTAACAAAAAATCTACCTCCTTTTTCATAATCTCTTTTTTTTGTGGATTTAGTCGATAGGCTGATTGCCTAATGGGTTGTACATCATCTGAGATTAGCTTAATATCATGTTTAAGTATATTGCAAAACCCTGGGAGGTCTGACGTGACTTTAGGAAATGTTGATAACTTAGTGAGATCTTTTGCTTGAGATGGATTCAGAACAGAAAAATACTCATCCAAGTTGTTGAGTATGTGACTGTTAGCAGGGTTCTCTTTAGGTAGAGGGAAGTCTAAATTCTCCAATAGATCCATGTCATCTGTCTCCGGCTCCGGCCCTGACAAAACCGTTTGCAATACAGGTAGGCTTATAGCCTCTGGGATGTCTTCCTCTGACTGCCTGGAATGGTAAAGTTTCATGAGATTAATGTGAACAAGTTGTGAATCTTTTCGGCGATCAGGAGTATGGACTATATAGTTGAGGGGAGATAGTTTATTAGCATTGACTTGAAAGTTTTGATGGAACCGTTCCAAGCAACCTTGGGACGGTGGGTGGTAAGCCGAAGATGTACAATGGTCCACACTGGGGTCTTTCATCACCTGTTTGAACAAAGATGGATCAGATTGTTGGGCTGTAATGAGCTCATCCTTACTAATGGTCTTATTGTACAGATCTTCTGTGGGTAGTAAGATATTGGAGGTGGTTTCAAATGAAGAGGGCCCATTTCGCACACTCTGTGACCGGGTGACAGCACAAGATGGGAAAAGATGAGGAATAGTTTCTTTAAGGTCAGTGGTGGAGTTGACAGGTAAGGGAGAGTCGACTGTCTTTATGTTAGGAACCACTAGATCTCCTACCAAGTCATTACCCAATAATAAATGAATGCCGCACACAGGCATTGGGTCTTTCCTTATGGCTACTTGCACTTCCCCAGTAATCAAGGGACATTGGAGGTGCACTTTAGCTAAAGGATAGGAAGAATGGGATCAGAGATCTGATATTAGAACACTCTCATTAGTAAATGCGGTAGATATATCAGGAATGACGTTAAACAGGAGGATAGATTGTGCTGCTCCGGTATCACGTAGTATACGAATAGGGAAAGAACGAGACCCCTCCATGATTGAAATTTTTCCCTCATAGGCGAATGAAGAGAAGAGATCCTGATGGGGCCTTTCCACATTGGTGGTTGCTATTTGTTTGGATTTGGGATCCAGGGAACTACTTTTAGCAATTCGACACTTTGGGTGTTTACAAGTCTGGATTGTATGGCCTGGGTTTTTACAGTAAGAACAATATAACTTGGTTGCATCAGGGGGGGTAGGTGTGGGACCTTTCGACCTACCACTCACGTCCCCAAGGTTATCATCAGAGGAGGACCTAACATGTCGGAAAGTACCACGTTCCCTACGGCACAGTGACTCCACCAGCAAGGCGTACTCATCAGCCAGCTCAGCTGCACGCCCTAAATTAACCTCTCCACGCTCCTCCACATGCTTCAAGATGTGAAATGGTATCTTGCTCTTCCACTCCTCCAGGACTACCAAGTTTAACAAATCCTGAGGTGGCCATTAAGAAAACCTAGATAAATTAATTAATGGTCAAAAGATAAGATAAGTGGATTACCCTAGAAAATATCACGGCAGTGGATAACCAGAAAGTCCCGGAAACTACCCAAGTTATACCTAGGGAAATTACACTTATGAATATTGTTCTTCTGAGAATATCCTTAGATAAGGATAAGAGACTTGAAACGGGAAGGGCGTATTACGGCATTAATATAAAGATCCGGATTAACAACCCTGAGATACTTGAAAGAGGAAGGGCGTATTACGGCATTAATATAAAGATCCGGATTAACAACCCTGAGATACTTGAAAGAGGAAGGGCGTATTACGGCATTTATATAAAGATCCGGATTAACAACCCTGAGATACTTGAAAGAGGAAGGGCGTATTATGGCATTAATATAAAGATCCGGATTAACAACCCTGAGATACTTGAAAGAGGAAGGGCGTATTACGGCATTAATATAAAGATCCGGATTAACAGCCCTGAGATACTTGAAAGAGGAAGGGCGTATTACGGCATTAATATAAGATCCGGATTAACAACCCTTGAGTTTGGTATGATTGACCCAGAATGAGATAATGAGAAGAACAATAATTGAGGCTTTATAATTATGGGGTCCTGGTAGAGCGGGGCGTCCCAAGATATCACTTCACCCTAAACTAGCGACTATGGAACAGCCTACTCTGGAGTGAGGGTACGGCATTAAACAGATCCGGATTCTTCCCTACACTCGATAAGACTTACTACACGACTGCCACGTGTAATAACAGGTAAGCCTTATGACACTTGGAACCTAATATCCTACGGCTGTCACTCTTACTGTACGATAATACCAATATATGCACACACATATGAAGGAAACTTTAAACCACCGTA